TCTAGGATGATGGAACTGAAAACACAAGCTACATGAACAGTTTTAGCCTCCAAAAAAATCTTCCCAAATGAGAATTCCAGTCTTACTGTAAGGAGGTATAGGGGCACAGAGAGTGTTTCACCCTGTTCCTTCTATCTTAGTAAAACCCCTGTGGTGCTTACTGCCAGCTCCACACTGCTAGAAATACAGAAGTTCCCTGAAGTTCCCTGAGGAAATCACATTTGACTCAAGCTTTGAGGAATGAGTAGGGGTTAACCAGTGTTGTGAGGAAAGGTAAACATGGTTAGGTGGAGGGAACAATAAACTCATTCCTTCACATATAAATATTTATTGAGCACATATATTTAAAGGTCCTGAGCCTCAGTAGGTAATTTAACAGTAAACATTTACACAGTTTTACTGCTTCCCTGCCCATTCTCTCCCAAGAATCAAGAACACAGGATCACCTGGGCTCCTGAGGCAGGACTATACCTCCTACAAATACAGTGCATCTCCTACACCAGGATTTGTCAAACTAAATGTGCACTTAGATCACGGGGACATCCAGTAGGTGTGGGTGGGGCCTGAGATTCTGCATTTCTGATAGGCTCCCAGCTGCTACTACTAGTCTGGGGATCACGCCCTGATTAGCAAGGTCCTGCAGAACCACGATACCGTTATCACTCCCAAACAATCCACATTCACATTTCCCCACGTGTCAGAAATTTTTCTTTATAGCCTTTTTAAAAATGTTGTGATCCAGGATCCAATCAAGGATGATAGATTACATTTGCTTTTCCCCTCCCTTCATTCTCCTTTCATCTACAACATGGATTTTTTGGGTTTTTTCTCTTTCATGGCACCAACATTTTTGAAGAGTTCAGGCTAGTTGTTCTGAATATGCCACAGTCTGGCTTTTTCTTATTTTTCCTGATGTTTCCTCATGAGTAGATGCAGGTTAAACATGTTTGGCAAGAAGACTACGCAGGTGATGTGTCCCCCGCATTGCATCACGTCTAGTCATTTTGTCCCATCCCATTCGGTGATGCTAAATTTGATCGCTTGGTTAAGGGAGTGTCCACCAGGTCACTCCACTTTAAAGGGAAGTTTTTCCTTTTATAAAGAACTAGTAATCTGTGGGGTAAATTGTGACTGTCCTGTCCCTCAAAAACCTTTCTCCCAAGGGTTAGCATCCACTAATGATCCTTGATTACTATTTTAAGAATTATTTAAGCATGGAATAGTGTGTGTAAGTGTGTGTGTATATGTGTGTGCGCATATATGAGAAAAAAATTGGAAAAACTGAGATCCATTCACAGTGACTGAACACAGTAATAAGAGAAATGGGGTGGGAGTAAGTCTGCATCTTTCTTTGGAACAAGTGTTCGGTAATTTAACTATCCCAGGCTCTAAACAGGCTCCATTATTGACCTCAGCTCAGATCTCCTCTGGGAAAGTAACACCATACAGGAGGCTTGGCAGATGAAGCCTCGGGGCACCACCCCCCCACGCACAAGATTGTCTTATCCCTGTCTCCAGAGAATACCAAGACAGGCTGGCTCCAAGCCAGAAATCCAACCCTCCAGAAGCCTTGACGGGAGCTTTCTGAACTTGAGTCGACCCCTCAGTTCCCTGGGTCATATTCACAGTCTCCCATGAGTGTAAAGGGAGATGGCCAGATCTGCCCCAGACCAAACTAAATCAAGTGCTCAGCCTTGCATGAAGCAGGAGTGTCTCTGATTTCCGATTGTATGCTCTCAGATGAAGAGGCTCGGAGCCATGAGGCCCAGCTGCTGGGCAAATCCTGTGGCCTGAATTATTGATGGATGAATTCATCAGGCACACTGCCTTCACCCATCCACTCAGGTCATGTCCAGTTTATTGAAAAACAGAGCCTGAAACTGTACACCATCTGCCCAGAACTAAGTCACTCTGGTCCAAACTCCTTAGCCCTCTTTGTAGCTGGGATATTATAAAGAGCAGAGGCTTCAGAGACCTACAGACCTGAGTTCAAGTCTCTCCTCTTCTTCTGCTGGACTGTGTGACCTGGATGGCTAGTTTACCTCTGTGAGCCTGTTTCCTTATCTGCAAAATGGGACTAATCATATCTTACCAGTGTTATTGAGATCAAAGAAAACACCTATAAAGTTACCAGTACAGTGCCTGGCATGAACTAGGCAAACTCCATTATGCAAACTTTAATAGTCTGACTCCTTGCCTTTGTCTCCTCTCACTGTGAACCCTATACTCCAACCCCACCTCACCACCTGCCCAGCTTGGACCAGGCCATGCGATTTTACACTATCAGTGTCACTTATCAACTTATTGCCTCTCTGCTCTAAAACCACTCTTTTTGCCAGCTCTGTGATAATGGAGCCAGACCTCGTAAATATTTCTTCCTTGCCAGCTGACATACTTTAAGCCTTTTCAGTAGAGTGTACTAGAGGAACGCTGGAGGAGAATGGACCTTCCCTTCCTGGTTCGAGGTTGGCTCACTTCCTGGGTTCCTGGAGAACATGCTTTTTTCCCACTGCTTGGCGCAGGGTTTCTCCAGTGCTAGGTGCCTGCAGGGTACAGCTTTCATCAATTTGTCTGCTACATACTTTCTCCAGCTCTTAACTAGAGCACCATTAGCATAGCCAGGAGCCCCAGACAGCTTGGGCCTGCACCCAAGTTCAGGTGACTCCTACCTATACCCTCTCCTCACTCCTGGACACACATACACTGGGAACCCGACAGAGCTGGCCATCTGCAGAGCAAGCCACCTGACTTTTGTCCTCTGGAACTGGCTGGAACCACCCTGGCCCAAGCCATATACAGAAGTTCACTAGGTTCCTAGAGAGGGAGGTCTCTCTGAATTACTAATCTCCCTTAAATTACTTAATTTAATTTAATTTAATTTACTTAAATTACTAACCTCCCTCTAAATTACTTAATCTGCAGTGGTTAAGAATCTGCCTGCCCATGCAAGGGACACGGGTTCGAGCCCTGGTCCGGGAAGATCACACATGCCGCGGAGCAACTAAGCCCATGCGCCACAACTATTGAGCCTGCACTCTAGAGCCCATGAGCCACAACTACTGAGCCGGCGTGCCACAACTACTGAAGCCCAAGCCCATGCTACGCAACAAAAGAAGCCACCGCAATGAGAGAGCCCACACACCTCAACAAAGAATAACCCCCGCTCGCCGCTACTAGAGAAAGCCCGCACACAGCAACGAAGACCCAATGCAGCCTAAAATAAATAATTTTTTTTAAAAAACATGCTATGTAACATATAACTACACACTAACATCCTATAGACTTTGATTTATTTATTTTATTCATTTTATTTATTATCCTCCCAACAACCCCCCGCCACACTAAAAGTGCAAGCTTCATGAGGGCAGGGATGGACTTTTGCCTATATTGTTCCCTTCTGTGTCCCCAGAGCCTAGGACAGTGCCTGGATATGATGGGATACCCAAATACTTAAGGAGTGAGGGAATGATTAAATATTGGATGAATGCCTGCATGAGTAAACAAATTCTTAGTTATTAGTGTCCTGGAGTTAAGGAGGTTGACTGGGACTAGGGAATGGGGTCCTCAGGTCTCCCTAGGGATGGATATCCACCGCAGTGGTCCAGTGTTCCTCTCCCTGCTACCAGCAAGTTGCTTAGCAACCGGCCGCCTGTCCCTCCGCCACCGCTAGAGGGCGCGCGGGCGGGGAGACGTGAACGCGCACGCGTGCGCGGCGCAGGCCGGCGAGGGAAGCACGTCACTTCCTGTTTCTTTAGGGGAACGTGGCTTTCCACGCATAGCCCGTCTTCCCTTCTGCGTCTCTGCTGCAGCTGCCGGACCTGGAGTCGGACCCCGAGTGCAGCCTTGCCATGGACTCGGCCCTCAGCGACCCGCATAACGGCAGTGTCGAGGCAGGCGGCCCAACCAACGGCACGACGCGGCCGCCTTCCACGCCTGAGGGCATCGCGCTGGCCTATGGCAGCCTCCTGCTCATGGCGCTGCTGCCCATCTTCTTCGGCGCCCTGCGCTCCGTGCGCTGCGCCCGCGGCAAGGTAGGGTCAGCGGCAAAGCCGGGCGCTGTCCACCTCCCACCCTGACACGGCTGGCACGGACCCTTCCCCCGCCCGCCCTGGACGGGACAGACACTTCCTCTGCCCGGACACTGACCCTTCCCAGCATTGCTCACCACCGCATCCCCAACCCGGGCCCACATCCCGGGGCTGACCTTAGGTGCCCCAGGATCTGGGCACCGATCCGCGAACCGGGTACTGACACCTTTCTCAAATAGGGAGCGGTTTCCACCCCCGTTCGGACCTTGACACATCCCTCCCTCTGTGCACCATGCTGGAAGCACTGTTGGCCGACCCTGACACTGTGATTCGGGTACTAATTGTTTTGAGCCTGCTGGACCCAGCCAGACCAGCCTCACGCTCTGCTCTGGCTGTTCATCCCATCTGGGACAGTCACCCCATCCCAGGCTCTGGGTCAACATCCATCTGTATCTGATGGGGCACTGGTTCTGACACCTCCTGAATAGTACAGCCTCTTGTCATTCCTCACCCTAACCCAGGGCAAATTCTGGCACCCAGGCTCATTCCTAGACTCTGACACCTGCCCAGCTGGAATCTGTGACCCATAGAGTGCTCTCCTAGAACCCCCAGATCAAGCCTTTGCCCCACCTAAAAAAAAAAAACAAAAAAAAAAACAAAAAACTAACACAGGAATATTAGCTCCTGGAACCCCCAGCTCAGCTCCTAGTTTTTTGCATCACTTTCTGGAACCAGTTCCGGTCACACAACTCCTCAGGACCTGGCACTTTGGTGCCTCTCTTTTTAACCAGCCATAGACCCCTGGTTTGCTGGTTTCCTCTCCCTGACTACACCCAAGCTCGGACCTGTCCGAGCCTGAGCCCAGACCCTATTCCTAACCCCTAACCCTGACCCTGGTCCCACCCCAGACCCTACCTCAAAGTAGCTCTTCTCATGCCCCTTAAGACAGTCTTTCCACCAAATTGGGCTTACCTGCTGAGTAAGTGAGCTGCTGTAGGCCTCTCTTGTGAGACTGGGCCAGAGCTCATCCCTGTCCTTCAACATCTGTCCCATTGGATACCTAAGAGGACCCCAGGGCCTTCCACCTTCTGACTTCCTCTCTGTTACCCTTCTTCCCGATATTAAGCCCTCTCTAGCCCGTTGCACCAGTGACTTCTCACTTCCTGGCAGCCTCTCCCATCATCCTCCACCACCTCCTGATCTGCAGCTCCCTGCTGCTCCTCCCCCACCCAGACCTGAAGTTGAACCTTAGCGGAAGCCGTCGTACCCAAAGAGGGCAGATCCATAGAGGAGCTGCCACTTTTGAAACTGCTCAAGCCCAGGTTCTCAAAACATTACTCAACTTGAGCAGTGGCCGAGGCCTGCCACCTTCCTTTCTCAAGATCAGAGATCTTGAGGTTGGTTCCCTCTGTGGTCAGATGCAAAGGGGATTGGTCACGCTTAGGTGGCCCCATTTTCCGTACAATTCTGCCTCTTCTAAGCAGAGTTCTGGTGGCTTTCATCCTCCCTACCTTTGCTTCGGGCAAACACTTGGTACAGGGGGATGTTCTGAAATAGATCAGGACAAAGAAGGTGAAGGGCAGCAAGGAGTGAGCTGGGCACTTGATGTGAGGGGCTCCCTATACTGAGTAATTCTCCTTGGCACCATCTACACATGGATTAGTAATCTCTTCAGAAAACACCTTCCAGACAACAGAATTTCCTGAACCTCCACTGTTGTCCAGGGCAGACGGGTGCTGCAAAGATGAGTGGGTCAGAGCCCTGTCACCAAGGAGTTTAGGTGTCTGGATGAGAGAGGAATAACGAGATCTGTGATTGTGGTACAGGTAGTGCTGCAGGCTTTAGGGAGAAAGATTGAACACACCTGGGGCAGGGCAGGGCGGCTTTGTGCTGGAGGTGGGCTGGAGCCTTGAGGTAGAGGTCGAATTTCCCCCAGAAGACATTCGAGGCAGAGGAAACCAGGAAAGCAGCTGTACGAGGCAGTTTAGTTGATGGTGGAAGGTCTGGAGTGGCTGGAGCAGAGGGTAGGGACAGAAGAGAGCTTTCGATCTACTGAAGCATCTAAATACCTCTCCCCAGCATCTCCGGCAAGACAGGGGTGCTGGAAGACTGTGCATGGAATTGCAAACAGCCTGACCCGTAGCCTCCCACCACTAGTAACCAGGGTATTCTAAAGTTTACAAGCCTTCGCCCTCTGATTCTCCCAGCAACTGAGTGAGACAGGCAGAGCCAGTTTTATTAACACCATTGTACAGAGAAACTGAGAGTCAAAGAAATGACTTCTCTGCCAATTAGGGGCAGAACCAGCTGTCCCTGGTCCTAGTCCGGGGCTCTCCTTGATGCAGGTGCCTCTGAAGACCCATACAAGTGGCCTAGGGAGAGGACAGGCCAAACGACGCCCTTTTTCTACCCTGAGTTGTTTCTCTAATCATTTGCCAAGGAGAGAAAAGTTAGCTTGGGGGCCCAGGAGTTTTGATTTCCCGCTAGTGTTAGACCCCCCACAGCCAGCTGAGAGGGCATGTGAGGACAGAATTCTCCCTGGGGGCAAGTTGTCCATGACAGGCAGGGCGAGTTGTGAAATCATGGGAGGAGATGTCCAGGAGTGTGTTGGGAAGAAGTAGCCATGGGCAGAGCCATCTGAGAGCAGTGCCCATTCCTGTCAGAGACCTCTGTTCCCAGAAGGGGGCAAATCCCAGCAACAGCTACTCATCATCGCTTCAAAGGCCTTTGGCCTGTAACTCAGAGGAGCCCCTCAGCCAGCCGGACTGGGTTCCTGCTCTGGGCTGGGTACCAGGGGTGCCAAGACAAAGAAGGTCAAGCCCTCCCCTCACAGAGCGCAGTCACCAAGGAGGAACAGCTGTGTGACCAGCCGACTGCTAGAGGCGGCAGCAGTGATCTTTGGCAGGGTGGATAGCTCAGCAGGTAGGACAGGAGGAGAGGGAGGCGTGGGCCCACAGGTGTTTTCCAGGAGGCAGTGAGCAGTTTGATGTGAGCCCAGTACAGGTACTCGGGTGATGTAACAGGAAGATGCTCTAGGATCCTGCGGCCATTCTGAGGTCCAGAATCCTGAGGGCAACGCACCAGTTAATCTTCGTAGTTACTACATGTTTGCATTTGTAAAAATTCAAGCAACGCAGAAGTATAAAGGAAAAGCCCCCACCCCAGTACCACTTCTGTGGAAGTGACCCAGTTAGCTGTTTGGTGTGCCAGCTTCCAGACCTTTTTCTGCATATATACAAACATGTATGCGCCTGTGTGCACATACATATAAAAGTGGGATTTTGCGGTACATAATTGCCCTAAAACTTGATTCTTTTTTTTTTCCTTAACAGTATGTCTTGGTCATTTTCCTGTGTCAGTACATGTAGATGTACCTTGTTTTATGGCGGGGAGGGTAGGTCACGCACGCCCAAGGTGTAGAATTCCAAAGGTACAGGGGGACAAAGTGAAATCTCCCTCCCACCCCAGCTTCGCAGTTTCCCTCCCCCGAGGCAGCCCCTGTTACATGTTTCTTGGCTATCCATCCAGAGCCTCTGTGCCTTTACAAATAAATAAGCATATGCTTCCCCCCATTTTTTGCTACATAACTGTTACATTTTGTCATAGATACACTCTTTTTTACACCTTGCTGTTTTCACCACTTACATGTTGGAGATCTAATATGTCAGTACACATGGCACGGTTGTGTTCTTTAACAGCTGTGTGGTGTCCACCTGTACCCCCCAGCCATGATTCTCAAAATGTAATCTCAGGACCAGCAGCATCAGTTATCACCTGGGATCTTGTTAGAAACGCAGATCTGTTCACAAGCCCTCCTGGCGTTTCTGATGCGAGCCCAAGTGTGAGGGCCCCTGATTTGGAGTCCTCCACTGGTCAGTTAGGTGTGTCAATCTTCTGCTATCGCAAACCATGCTGAAATTAATCTCCTTATACATTTGTTACTTTACACTTTTCTGTGTATTTGTAGGATAAATTCCTTAAAATCGATTTACAGGGTCAAAGGCTCTGTGCATGTTTGATTTAGACGGATTTTATCACATTATCCACCATAGAGGTTGTACCAGTTTATACTCCCACCCGCAGTGACCTCAGTTCTTGTTTGACGGCTGCTTGGTAGTCCATTCTCCAGAGGTTTCTGAGCTGTTGTGGGATGCGATCAGGTCCTTCAGAAAGAGCTCCTGATAGGGGAGGTGACAGGCAGGAAGGGGGCTGGTGAGGTGGTGCTAGTGGAGACTGCAGTAGGGGCAAAGGGCTGGGGTGGGGGGTAGTTCAGGAGATGCTCAGGTGAGTGAGTGCACGTGGCAGTGAGGAGAGGAGACCCTGGGGTAACAGAATGGCCCACGAATTCCAGATCCTTTCTAGGGCATGGCCTGGAAGCAGAACTCCCAGAGCTCCAGCTGAGCCAACGACTTGAGCGAGCCATCTTCCCTCGCTGCTTTTGCTTCCGCCCTGATAACTGAGCGTGCAGAATGTCACTGGAAGCTGAATTTATTTCTGCTCTTTGTGTCAGTTCCCAACCCCCCCCCCACCGCCCCCAAGTATGTTTTGCATTTCAGGAGCCATTGCATTTGCATAAGAACGTCTAGTTTAAAAATCCAAATTGAATCAGTGGAGAATCCTGACAACTTTTTGTATTTTTCCAACTACAAAGATTCTGTCGCCTTCAGGATTCTGTTCCTCAGAAAGGTCGTAGGCTCCCTGAGCATCTTGTCACAACTTTCCAGCGGAAATTTCCAGATAGAAAAGGTAGAGGACGTCTAGGGGGTAATAGCCAAGAGTTTGGGCTCTGGAACCAGACTGCCTCAGTGTGAATCCTGGCTCTGCCACTCGTCAGCTGTGTGACCTTAAAGCAAGTTATGTCCCTCTCTGAGCCTCAGTCTCTTCATCTGTAAAGTGGAGCTATTAAAAGTACCTGCTTCCTGGGGTTACTGTGAGGATGAAATCATGTAAAGCACCTAGAACGATGCTTGGCACCTAGAAAGCTCTCAGTAAGTGTTATCCGTGTTACTGTCATCAGTGGTCAGATTTCAAGTCTCCCGTTCTGACTCAACATTGCACGTGGGATATTTCCAATAGCCACCCACAGAGGAGACCAGATTCCTCTGTGTGATGGAGCATCTGTCCAGCCTGGTTTGTCATCGAATAATATTAAGCCTCTTCCCACCCAGGATCCTGGGCTGAATTGAAATGACTGTGGAAATGAGCGGTAACACTGGTTTGTAGGTGAAGCCAGAGTCTGTGAATGTTTTCATACCATGTGCCCTGCCTGCATCTACAGGTCCCTCTGCTTGGTAAGCGCTTCCCTTCCTCGTACACAAAGCAAACTCCTCAACTTAGTCAGCGTTTATCTGGCTTCGACTACATACCAGACCCTGTGGTTGGCCTTCGAGGCCTTGCTTAAGTGATATCTGCTCTAATCACCTCTGACACTCCCCTGCTTCCTTGCGAAAGTAGTGTCCTGTCTGCTTTCTCATGATTCCCTTCTACATAAGAATAATACAAATAGTTTATACAACTTGTAGGAAGCTCAAGGCACAACACAAGTACTTCCAGTGCTGTGGGGAAAAAAAAAAATCATCAAATCCTGTCACCCCATTTTACAGCTGAGGAAATTGAGGCTCTGAGAAGGAAGTTAACTTCCCCAAGGTCCCAAACCTGGAAAGAAGCAGAGCTGGGAGTGCAGCTGGGCCTGCTGACATCAGAGCCCTCCCTCCACCACTGGGCGCTCATGCCACGTACCACCGCAGTATGCGTGTCTCTGTTCTGTCACATGTCACAGTTTGCGGTGATACTCTGTTTACATGTCAAGGTCTTGGCCTACCTGCCTGTTAACTCTTTATGGTCAGGAGCTCATTTATTTTTGTGCCCACCCTGCTGCTACACAGGAAATATAATGATTTTATGGAGGTACACGGAGAGGGCGATGAATTTGCCCAGACCCCACAGCACAGTGCTGCCAAAAGCAGAAACCAAGGGCTGGGAGAGCAGAGGGAAGGAGGGTGGCCCTGCCTCTCCATGCCACTGCTGCTCACCCACCGCCACCCCACTCCCAGCAAAGCTGCCAGAGAGTGACTCACACAGAGCTACCTGGTCCCTCCACAAGGGCGGGTCTCCCTTCAGCCCTGTGCCTGGGCCGCCTCAGCCATGCATATGTTGGGGTTTGGTTAAGGGCCTCCCCACTTGACTAAAAAACATTTTTAATATAAATTTAAACCAGAATTATACTACTATGATGGATTTGCATTCGAAAGTCTTCTGTCACGAATTCTATGGAGCTGACTTAATTTTCTAT